AAAAAAAAAAAAACCACATTTTCAGCCGTCTATTCTGACAGCGTTGTAACTTTTTTCGTTAGTATTACTTGCGCGCATTCAAATAAGTATGATAACTTGTATGACTACGCAATTGATTCCGTATGATGATGTGATAATTTATATGATTGATTTCTGTTTCAGGTAAACCTAAACTTTATGTCAGAGATACATGTTTGTTTTCAAATACGCAGGAGACTCGATAAAATCATATTTACGTTATCGGTTCTCATTTATTAATATAATATCATATCGATAGTAAATATGGTATTGTAAAATATATGGTATTGTATAATATATACAATGGAAATTCATATATGCAACAAGTACCAGAGAGCGGTACGGGGGAGCGCCGATTTTCCATCTTCGACTCCTCCGGGTTTGTAATCAACCCCCCGAGTTCTAAGTACGCGTTCATAGAGCGAGTAAAACGACTTGAAAAGTGTAACAGACTATTTCAAACGCGGTTTCGCGTTATCAGTGACCGCTTTAGCACTTGAAAATTGCCTCGCGCTTTTTCCACGCGCGACGCACTTAATAAAACATACTCGCTTCTCCTGCTCTCCAGACCTCTCGCACCTGTCCTTCTTCCACTCGGCGTTCCCTTTCTCATTCACACCACGCCGGCTCGCCCGTGTGTACGCGGGAGCACACACGAGCGCTTTACGCGCGTTTCCACTGTTTTCCTTTCCCTTCCTCTTCCTTTCTCTTGGTCACGCTTCAACACCTTCCCCCCCATCCTCGTTCCTCTTTCGAGTTTTGTGGTGAACGAGTCTCTTTATCTTCCTTTCTTCCTCTGAGTCCCCTACAGTTTTTTTCTCCCTCTTTTGTTGGGCAATCTCCCGACCTCTCTATCTCCTACCCTTCTCGAGGTTTGCCCTCCACTGCTTCCTTCTCTTTCGGATATACTATACTTCCTACCTGGCGTTGGTATCTCCTACTCGCTCACTCTCTGTCAGTACCACGTTGGCAGAATTCCCGACCGCTCCAGAGACAGCCAAATAAATGTCTCTCGGACTACTTGCACCGACACTTCTCCGCTACGCTTAGCTAATTCGGCACCGTGTACCGTACAAAACTTTGTAACCGAGACTGGCAAAGAATGTTTGGAAATTGGCCAATTAGCTGCGCAATTTAATTTTACTTTCTTTCTACGACAGTGACCATGTTGCAATACATCAAATATCTAAAATATGGTGCGATATAAATAATTTGATTCAAGTTACATTATACGTAAGCCAATACTGGGAAAAACTTTGTTTTGTAAGATCATTTTTTTTACGCGATATATCTAATATTATTTAGTTTCGTGCAAACTTATTTCAGCCCTGTGGCAATTTCTAGCATGCTGGTGCGATTAATAATCGCACGAAAAACATGCGCAAGATATTCTATGGATTTCAAAATGAATAAATCCTTATCATGACACGTCGCAGGCCGGCAGTGCCCGATAAGCTCCGAATGAACTCGTTAATGCCGACATTCCTATTACGCTCACCAACTTTATTGGGTAAAAACGCTCTCCCTTCCGCTGTCATCGCACTCTTGTGCACGCGACAGTCGCGCACTGCGGCCGGATATACATACGTGTATACACGTGAAAGGAAGGGAATACCGCGACGTTGGCTGAGCGCGCCGTAGCGCGGTGCTCTCCCGATGGGCGTGGATAAACGAGCGGAAAAATGGCGGGGTTTGGAAATGAGATTTGCTGGTAAACCGACAATTTATCGTAGGTATCTGCGAAAGCATCTCTTGACGTTCCTCTGACCAGAGTTATAATTAATACGCTCTCGTCACAGTGCGCCCGACCAATATTCCGTCGCGCCCACACACGTATACAGTCGGAGCCGCACCACGCGGACGCCCCGCGTACGCGTATACGGACGACAGCGCGCGAATCTGTGTGGTCGCGCTCGCGCACCGACGTGTAACCGGTTGTTGATTAAGTTTGAATGACTGATGCCGCAAAAACACATTAAAACTTGAATGAGTACAGATGAAAATTTAGTCGCTAGGAATCAAGAGACCGCAGAGGCAAATGGCCTGGCGGCCGCACATACGCGCGGACGGAACTTCCTCTTCCTCCCTTTACCCTTCGCGCGTCGGCACCCGGCGCCGTTCCTCTCTCTTTTGCGATCGGATGCCCATCGAAATACAACTACGCGAAAAACACTCGACGATTGCTATATCCGCCGCCCGGAGGCACTCGCGTCTGGTCGCATACCGCAACGGAAACAGCCCGTGTACTCGGTTAGCTTTCGACGATCGTTTTTTCGCCCGATCGATGAGTCGGCCAGGAAGATCGTGGCCTGGCCCGAGAGGCGGCTTCGAACTTGATTCGGGTAAGCGAGAAAATAGAGCGTTTGCACGGCTAAGTCTCTCTCGTTGCTATCGCAGATTTGTTCTTCGTGATGTAGCGATTTTTAACTTTGCATATCATAGATGTATGTCATTTGCCGTAACAATCATGAATTATGTATCTCTAATTTTACAATATTTATAGCTTTCTCACGCGTGTATCGAACAATTTAGGATAATAAATGTGATGCAAAAACAGCAGCCTACCAATTTCTTCTAACAAAAATTAACATGGCCTTCTCGGTCATTTCATCTTAATTGTGTCTACTCGATGTCCAAGAAACCTTTCGTTGCATAAAAACAAGTTTACTGTCTTAAATACGATCATTTCTCAGTTCTCACGATAAACGTTCAATAAAACGCGATGTAGCAATCTATCGTGAGCAAGAAAATCCACGCACTGTCATGAAACAATTGAATAATAAAATTATTCCGATTGTCGTCTCATAAATACTTGAAGATCAATGAAAAATCACAAATCTATTTTAGTGAGCATTCACGAATGGAATGGCAATGGGGACCCATCAAGCGGCAGCGACTGCAACGTAAAGCAATAGCAGTAAGGGCAGTGATTGCCGGAGAGATCCGCGAGATGATCGTTTCCTCAATAAAAATCGTCAACCAGATCGTAGCTCACGCACCGATACGGGACCGTACGACTCCTTGTCGGTCCAATCAGGGGCTCCCATCGCTTTAATGTATTCAAATGTAAGCGGTAGCAGTGTTTATGTCTTGACATTGCAAATTGTAGCGGCTGCGCCATAACTTATAGTAATTGCTGTACGCCGTAGTAATTATTTATACCCGTGATATAGCGCACAGGAGTTACTCACAGTCGAGATCTATATATACCGACGTCGAGGACTATTGTACACGTAAATATCAAAAAGGAGTGAGCAGAGTGTGATATTAAACCCGAATTTGAGCGCACGAATTGGCGACTTCGATGCCTCGCGCCAGTAGAACGGTACCGCTAAGAATCGAAGAAAGAAACCACAAGCGCAAAATCCATGATTCTTTTTTTAAAATAATTTGATTGTTTTCTTCTTATATTAACAGGGAATATAATAATTTTTGAGAAAAATGACATTCTCTTTCTATCGCGTGATACTTGAAGTTACACAAAGCATTTTGATATTGCAGCGTATAATTAAGTTGTAATGATAATATATATCTGTTCTAATGTATAGATAACAGTGCAATATATTCTACGAATAAGTAAATGTTTATTTTTGTTTTATATTGTTACGCTATTACTCTTTTTCACTTTAATGCAAAATCAGACGAAAATCATTGGAAACTTGACAATTTTACGAATGCGAGTGCATAATACATTGTCAGATATGTTTGCAACACGTGAATAATATTTGTAATATTATTCGACAGACATTCTTCGGCAATTGCATTTGTAAAGAAAAATTTTAATCTCAAACATACATGCTGCCATCTCACTATCAATGCTCGAACTTATATAGGATTCCAATACGTTAAAACTGGTTGTAAATAACACCATGTCACAACGACAACTACATATTTATGACTATTTAAATCAGCCAGATAAAACAAATGTTAAATTTGCAATAATTTGTTAAATCGTTCAGTATATCATAAATTTTTTGCATATTTTTGTTATGCATTCCGATTGTGTAATCGATTAGATAGTTCAATCATCAATATCAGTAAGCAAGAATTTTAGTGAAAATGCAAACACGTGTCCGAGAATAAGACTAAGGGAGCTTAACAAAGTTCACGATTTCTGTCGATAAATCAGTTTAAGCATTCAGTCGATGAGAACGCGGGTGGTTTTGCGGTGTAACAGGTGGTTGAAATTCTCATTCTCCACAGCTTTTTGCTCCTTTATCGGCAAAAAAGGAAAGAATAAGTTCCAGTTTATGAATCGGAGCGCGTTTAACGCTTCTTAAAAGGGTAAAGCGCCTCCGATGGCTCTCTCAGCGAGGAAAATTTCCGTGCTTTTACGAGGTCGTGGAATATATTGGTAAAATATATGAGAGCAGGTTTTTTGCGAGATAGAATTGCAACACTTACGAAACTGGCTTGCATCCTGCAAATTTATTCATTTTATCGGTAAATATACATGTAAAATCAATCAAAAATAAGTAACAAACACTGTATCTTTCGCAAGGATTGTATTTCAACGTTCTATTTTTTATCACAAACTGATAATATTATCTTAACACGTTGAATGCCATAACAGTGATCTATAGCCGCTACTCATGTCGCATTGTCATGAATAAAATGTAACTAACAATATTTAGGAAATTATACATATAGTAAATTGAGAACTAATTCAATAACAAATATATTTATCAAAGATTACACAATAATTCTAAATTATACGTGCAATCTTCAATTCTTGTCTTCCTTTGCAGAGTTTATAAAAATCTGCGTGGCAGTGAACGTGTTAATTGACAATACTGACCACCGTTTTGCCGTAGATCTTCTAAAAAGTTATCACTCGTACAATATTGATTTACGGCATAATTATAATTAAGGTACAATTTAATCAATTAAAAATGGAATTATTTACAGAGCTATTCACATATTACGTGTTGTGACAAACTTAATAAAATCTTGTTAAACCTATTTAAAGCTTACGAGTCTTTACGAAATGGCGAGGATACAGCGTAGCAATGCAATCAAGGAATGCATTAACAATCTTGCTCCAAAAATTATACTATAATTTCATGCTTTGGCACAAAACCGCATTGTTTGTAATGACCTTATTTATCCTTAAACTATTTTATAGCGTACAATGTATAAACCATAGATCTAACAATACGTATCACGCAAAAATCCCGCCACTGATTATTCGTAATTCACGCAAACCATTAGCAAACGTCAAAATGTGTAAAATTGTGTAACTTCATGGCACGTTATCGCCAATCAATTATTCTTCGGTATTTCAAAAAATTAGGAATCAAAATAAATTCATCCTACTTTGTACTAAATATGTTAAAAAATAATCGTCCAGTTTCGAAATGCTTTTAATTTTATTTTTAGCAATTTTATTTTTCAGCAAATTTTATTTTTAGCAATAATGATCACCAAGGTCTCCACATATCGCCATTGCCGCCAAAAGGCCCTGCTGGACTCATTGGAAATTTATCGGAATTTGCATTGGAGTTTCGCGGAGTTTGCGAATTCTGACTTCTCGACAAATCTTCAATCGCAGCAGACTGCTCATTTACGCTCTTAAGCGTGTCGGCATTATTCATCAAGGAGGTCGAACTAGTGGGTTCCTGATATCTTGGTCTCTTATCTGAGATCGCCAGAAGCCCATCAGAATGAGTCCGTCTGAGACTGTCCCTCTTGAGCAGCGAGCTATTCGAGGCACGGTT